ACTTGTATTCCATAAATATATAGAAATAAAAGAGAAAGAAATATTTGTCTTCTGCAAAGGTACAAAGATATCTTATCTCTTTTTTTTCTCTAAAATTTCTTCATTTAACTTTTCTTCTTGAGATCTATAATCCATCTGGAATTGATTTTGGTGTGTGGTGTGAGGCGGGGTTAAAATGTATTTTTTTTTTCCATATTACTGTTTGATTCAGCATCGTTTATTGGAAAGACTGTCCTTTCCCTACTACTCTGTAATATCACCTTGGTCATAAGTTAGGTGACTGTATTTGCATGAGTTTGTTTCTAGACTCTGATGTTTCCTTGGTCACTTTGCCTTTACTCTTATGATATTATACTGTCTTAATTATTATAACTGTAATAGATTCATCTATGTCTTTAGTGTTTTTTCAGGATTACCTTGGCTATTGTTAAACCCTTCAGTTTCCGTATACATTGTAGAATCATCTCGTGAGTTTCCCCTTCCTAAAAAACACATACTAAGATGTTCATTTGGTTTGCATTTAATTGATAGTTTAGAGAGAATTATTATCTTTATAACATTAATCTTCTAAACCATGAACATGGTAAATCTCCCTGTTTATTTAGATCTTTAATTTCTCTTAATGCTTTATAGTTTTTAGCAGAGGTCTTGCCTGTCTTTCATTAGAGTTATTATTCCTTGGTATTTGGTGCTTTTCAATGCTAGTGGTAAAGAATATTCTAAACTTTTAATATTTTATTTTCTAATTGTGCATGGAATATGGAAATAGTTTCTTTTTTCCTCCTTCTAGAATATTGAGCTTGTACCACAGGACCTTGCTAAGTGTACTTATCTTTAGGATTTTTTTATGTTACAGAATCATGTTTCTACAAATAATGAGAGTTGTGTTTTTTTCTTTCTAGTCCTTTTATCTTTTTTGCCTTATTATACTGGCTGAGGCACCCAAATACAGTGTTGAATAGGATGATAATAGAATCCTTATTTTTGTTTTTTTCTTGGTCTTGGAGAAGTATTCAGTACTTTGTGACTGAGTGTTCTTTGCTAAGATTTTTCTGTAAATAACCTTTGTCAAATTAAGGTATTTACGTACTTTCCCCAGTATACTCGGATAAATAAAATCTAGCATGATATATTATCCTTTTTATTTATTGCTGGATTTGATGTGCTAATGTTTGAAGATTTTTTTTTTTTTTAATCTGTGCTCATGAGAAGGAATACCTTATAATTTTCCTTTCTTATCATGTATTTGGTGTTTGCCATCAAGGCTATGTTGGCCACATAAAAAGAAATGTTTCCTTTTTTTCTTCCTCTTTTTTTTTTGAGATGGAATTTCACTCTTGCTGCCCAGGCTGGAGTACAATGGCACAATCTTGGCTTACCACTTGATCTTGGCTTGAACCTCTGCCTCCCAGGTTCAAGTGAGTCTCCTGCCTCAGCCTCATGAGTAGCTAAGATTACAGACATGCGCCACCATGCCCGGCTAATTTTTTGTATTTTTAGTAGAGACAGGGTTTCTCCATTTTGGTCAGGCTGGTCCGGAACTCCTGACCTCAGGTGATCCACCTGCCTCGGCCTTTCAAAGTGCTGGAATTACAGGCCTGAGCCACTGTGCCTGGCCCCTCTTTTTCTATTCTCTGAAAAAGGTTACTGTCAAGTTTATTTTTTTTTCTTATATATTTATGGACATATATATATATATATATATAATAAAATATATATATATGTTTTCTTATACATTTATGCTTTTATCCTGACACTTTTTTCTATTTTCTATTTGTAGCCACCCACATAGCCTTTTATAGTGAATTGCATCCAGTGCATGCTTAGTTTGTTGAATAAATAAGCATGTCTTTTCCTTGTTGGTTCCAGTAGCTTACTTATTTTTTTACCAGCAGCAAAGTAGATCAGGTCCTTACCATGGCTGGGGTCCTGCAGTGACATTATTGACTTCCCTTTCTATCCGGTTGTCTACCTCAGACCATCCTTTCATTACCATCAACTCATCTTAAAAATCATTCTTTTTTATTGTTTAAAATTGATTTTAATTTTCATTAAAGTAATACATGTAAATATTATGGATATTAAATTGTTCTACCTGGCTCGTAACAAAAAACAAGTCTACTGCCCTACTCTTCGCTTCTCTCAGTTCCCATGATTAGAATCATTCACATTTACTTTCACTTATTTTAAAATAAACTTGCTTAAAAATGTTATTTCTTGATTTTTCAGTTTTAGACATTAAACACTGACTTCCTTTGGAAGATTAAGATTTTGCTATTTTAAACCATATGTCCCCAAAATACACATGCAAATTTTCCTTCCATCCTCCCAGCATAGTTATGAACTTTCCAGAATTCAAGGTACAAGTTTGCAAATACAAAGGACCCACCTGAACTAGTGCCATGATTTTTTAAGTTCAGACTTAATTACTTATTATTTATGGCTGTGAACATATTACCATTAGGTATATTTCCTTCTAAAACTTTTTTTCTCTCTGCAGTTAATACTTGTGTAATATAAATAATTGTTTCAGTAAATGCAGATGCATCAAGCAATCCATTCATTTGTCTTCGAAATTAAAAGCATATCTCTGAGATTTCTTCATCATCTTGCTCCAGTCTGGATTTTCTTGATTTCTAGGCTGACTTCATTTCTCCCTTAGCCTGGGTGTATGCTTAGCCATTCTCCTTGGTGCTGAACCCTCTATTTCCTGGACTCCGTTTTTTCTGGTTAACTCTCTTTTCTTAATAGAGGCCATTTTTAGCAGCTACTTGAAAGGGGGCTCATAAAAAGTTAAAATTCTTGATCCTGTTTGAATTTTTTTTTCATCCTCATACTTGGTTGATTAATTTGTTTTCATGTTTTGTAGCTATTTTCTCTCAGAATTTTGAAAACAGAACTACATTGTCTTTGAGCATCTTGTGTCATTGTCAAGTTTGATGTGACTGTAATTCCAGTCTTTGTATGCAATCCTTTCCTTTTTCTTCCAGAAGCTGTTAACATGCTCTTTCCCCCCAATGCCTTGATCATGTGCCTTTGATTCATCCCTTCTTTCCTTTTTTCTTCTCCTCTCCCCTCCCCAATTTGATCATGTGCCTTTGTTTGATTCCTCCCTTCTTTCCTTTTTTCTTCTCCACTCCCCTCCCCCCTCCACTTCCCCTGTCTTTTCTTTCTGTTCCTTTCCCCTTCTCCTTCCCCTTCTTTCCCTTCTGCTTCCTTTTTAGTCCTTTTACCCTTGATCTTGGAGAAGCATTCAATACTTTGTGATTAGATATTCTTTGCTAAGGCTTTTCTGTAGATGATTATTGTCAAATTAAGGAATTTACCTTCTCTTCCCAGTTTGCTGGAATAAATAAAATTTAACACGATACATTATTCTTTTTATTTATTGGATTTGATTTGCTAATGTTTTAAGATTTTTTTTAATCAGCTGGGTGCAGTGGCTCACGCCTGTAATCCCAGCCCTTTGGGAGGCCGAAGCGGGCGGATCACCGGAGGTCAGGAGTTCAAGACCAGCCTGGCCAACATGGTGAATCCCTTTCTCTACTAAAAATACAAAAATTAGCCAGGCGTCTGTAATTCCAGCTACTCAGGAGGCTGAGGCAGGAGAATTGTTTGAAACCAGAAGGTGGAGGTTGCAGTGAGCTATCGCACCACTATACTCCAGCCTGGGTGAAAGAGTGAAACTCCATCTCAAAAAAAAAAAAAAGATTTTTTTTTTTAAATCTATGCTCATGCTTCCCCTGCTCTCTTCCCCTTTCCCTTCTCATTGAACTTGTTACTAGGTGACTCATTTCTGTCTAGAAATCTGTACCTCGAATTCTGGAATGTTTTCTTTTGTTGTTTCTTAGATAATTTATTTTTCATTTTCTCATTTTGGAGTTTTTATTTTTATGGTGGACCTTCTTGACTGCAGCTGTATTTTTCTCACCTGTTACCCATCTCTTTGTGTTTTTGTTATACTTTCTGAGGAGAGCTTCTCAAATCTGTCTCCCAACCCTCTTGTTGCATTTTTCTTTTAAATATTTGGATATCATGTTTTTAATTTCCAAGGGCTCTTTTTTGTTCTTTGAATGCTCTGCCCCTCTAAAGATAGCCTATTCTTTAAGGTTTTTTATTGCTACGGATTTGTTTTCTTTTGCTTTTGTGTCTTTTTCTCCAAGTTTCTTTGTTGTGTTTGTCTTGGGCTTCAAATTTAAAGATAGAGGTTTTCTTTGAATATTTGGTGATTCTTAGCTGTCTGTTTGTATTTAGTATGAGGCATTAAAAATACTGAGAATGTTGCTGCTGTTAGTGACAATAGGTTTCTTTTAGGGATCTAGCTGTTTTCTAACGGGTCTCCCAGATGACATCATCTGAAGTTCTTTTCTCTTGGGTACTTCAGGGTTTTTAAGTTGTTTTTGTTTGTTGTTTTGTTTTTGTTTTTCCTTTAGGGAAACCTTCTAGTCTCCTGCATGAGACTAAAAGGACTACCTGATGTTCTGGGTGTTGGGAAAGGTCTCCCCAATTGGAAAGTAGGCTTTTAAATAATCCCTCTGTGACATCCCTGTCACAATATCTCTTTGCCTTTGCCAGGTATATTAAACTCTAGTTCAACCTCTTTAGAAAGGATTATCTTTAGTTTTCTGCCAGACAAAAGGAGGAGATCCAGGAGCTGTATAGCTTCTTACACATATTTTCAATTAATATTCTTCATTCAGCCCTGGCCACATAACTCTTACCTCTGTTCCATTCTAAAATACCTGGTGCTTACAGTTCCTGAGCTAATCGATTTCATTGTTAGCTTCACTGGATGTCTGCATTTAGCTTTCTCTGGGCTCCTGTGTCATTGTGCCTGGTCTATCTCTTCTCCAGCTTCCGAAATTTATATAACTTTCCTGCTCTCTTCTGTTCTTCTGCCTTCTTTTTCCTTATGGGTTTATACCTTAAAAATTACATTCTTTTTATTTCTTCCTTTCTTTTATCTTTTTTTTTTTTTTTTTTTTTTTTTTTTTTTTTTTTTTTTTTTTTTTTTTTTTTTTTTTTTTTTTTTTTTTTTNTTTTGAGACAGGATCTGACTCTGTCACGCAGGCTGGAATGCAGTGGCATGATCTTGGCTCACTAGAGCCTTGACCTCCTGGCTCAAGCAATTCTCCCACCTCAGCCTCCCTGAGTAGCTGGGACTACAGATGCATACCACCATGCCTGGCTAACTTTTGTATTTTTTGTAGAGATGGCATTTTACCATGTTGCCCAGGCTGATTTCAAACTTGTAGGCTCAAATGATCCTTCTGCCTCAGCCTCCCAAATTGCTGAGACTACAGGTGTGTGCCACTGCACCTGGCGTAAAATTTTTTAAATCCACCATGTTAGTAGAGTTTTAGGAGAGAACATAAGTAAACTTGTACTTAGCCTACAATGGATCTGAATGTTGACTGAGGCACAGTGCCTTCCCATCTGGAATATCTCCTCTCTCCACTTTTCTTCATTTATTAAAAGTTGGCATTATGCTTTCCTCTTTCCTGGAACTTTCCTTGGTATTTCCAAAATACCAGCTAATGTCTTTCTTTGACTGAACTTAGGACTTAGGAACCATGAAAACTTTCTATAAATATTTGAAGGACTGTTATGAAAAAGAAAGAAGGAATGAGGGTATTTTTTCTTTTTGAGTGAGGGAGAACATATGAATAATGCAGGGCGGGGGGTATGAACACAGATTTTAGCCCACTGTATAAAAGAACTTTCTCATTATCCAACAATAGCAGAAGTTGCCTCTTCAGAGTCTGGACGGCTCTGTGTCTAGGATGACTGGAAATAATTCTTACCTTGGGATGAGTCTGTCATTTTTTCTGTGTTCTGAGAAGCCAAGTGGGGTGAGAGTGAAGCTGTTATTCATAGATGCCTCAGGTGTACTCAGAACTCTGAGTTCACCACCACTGTTCCTCCAGGGAAGTGCCATTTTTATCTGTTGTATATATAATTTAGGGTTTTTCAAACTACTGTTCTAAGTTCTTTTCTGCATTTCTATTAACAAAAGGATTTACTGCATATTGGGTACTTACTTGCCCTTCGTTCCACATCAATGTTTAGTTTATGACCTATTTTCTAGTGTCTGTATGCCTTTGCATGATTTTTAAGTTTTGTGGTAGAGAGCTTATTTTTTCTTTTCTACACTTTTAGAATCTAACTGGTAGGAAATAATTATCAAAAGTATAACATGACCCACATAACTAATTTCTGTTGAATTTTCTCCTTTTCCAAGGTGCTAACCGGATAGTACTAGAAGACTCCAATATCTTGCAGCCTGTGGGACTTACTGTGTTTGAAAACTGGCTCTATTGGATTGATAAACAGCAGCAAATGATTGAAAAAATTGACATGACAGGTCGAGAGGGTAGAACCAAAGTCCAGGCTCGAATTGCCCAGCTTAGTGACATTCATGCAGTAAAGGAGCTGAACCTTCAAGAATATAGTAAGTGTTAATGGGATAAAGCTAATTGGAGGACTTGTGTGTTGTAAGAAATTAATATGTACACTTTTGTATATTTTTTTTTTTTTTTTTTTTTTTTTTTTTATTTTTTTTTTTTTTTTTTTTTTTTTTTTTTTTTTTTTTTTTTTTTTTTTTTTTTTTTTTTTTTTTTTTTTTTTTGTGGTGGCATCTTGCTCTGTTCTGTGGCCCAGGCTGGAGTGCAGTGGCACGATGTTGGCTCACTGCAGTCTCTGCCTCCTGGGCTCAAGCGATTCTTGAACCCAGTGTCTGAGTCTCCGGAGTAGCCGGGATTACAGGTGTGTGCCACCATGCCCGGCTAATTTTTTTTTTTTTTTGTATTTTTAATAGAGGCAGGGTTTCACCATGTTGGCCAGGCTGGTCTCGAACACCTGACCTCAAGTGATCCACTCGGCTCAGCCTTCCAAAGTGCTGGGATTACAGGCATGATCCACCGTGCCCAGCATCTTCATGCTTTTAAAGCTTTATGTCAGACTCACCCAGGAGCTTTTCCAAATTAAACATAATCTCATAAACCAGAAATAGGGGAAAGGCATAGTGTTGCTCATTAAAAAAGAATATTTCCTGGTACAACAGTGACTGCTTATCATGCCTTGTTTTTTTCTCTCCTTCAGTTCCTTTGAGAATACTGATAATATAAAGCATGTATTTCTTTTCTTCCCTCTCTATACTTCTCCCATAGCTTGAAAAAAAAAATAAAAATTGTATAATGATGAATATAGTTATAATGGGTTAACGTTATTCTTAAGTGAAACAAACTAAAAATTAGTGTGTAAACATAGAGGAGACTGTTTAATCAGTAAATGTTTCGGTTTTTTTTCTCCTCCTTTTGGATAAATATTTCAATTCCCAGCTTAGAAAAATAGCCATCTCCATGAGCCCCAGGGAAAAAAAAGAGAGAGAAAAAAGTAGCCACAAATATTTTATTTTTTTTTAAATGGCTAGTCATCTTGGCCTAGTTCGTAATTCATATCTGTCATCAAAATTGCCCTCATAATAGAGAGGAATAAATGAGTTTATATATGCAAAATGTTTTTTTAAAAAGTACTGTCCTAGCAATCACTACTGTCTTACATGATGATACCAGGAATGCCAATGTTAAATTGAGTACTAGAAAGAGAATTACTGAAATTCTGTAACTTCTCATCTCAGTGCTTTTAAGTTGAATTTAAGCATGAAAGGAGAATGAGGAAACAGGAGTACCCTTGTACACGTGTCCATTATGTTGCTGTGGTTCATGAATTTAGAAGTAAAGTTACAAGTATTGGAGAATTAGAAAGTTAAAATTGTTGTCGTTTTGTGGTATGACTTGTAACTCAGGCTGAACGTTTAGTGGAAGTATGTTAATGACATCATACCTAAGTTCTTTATTCAGTTGATATATGAATATTTTATTACAGAAAATCTCAATGAGGGTTTTCAGAATGTTAAGGGAGAAGTTTTATTTAATGTAACTCAATATTTAAATATGATTGTATATTTGGTAAATCATTTTTTGAAATTTTTCTTTTTTTTTGAGATGGAGTCTCACTCTGTCACCCAGGCTCGAGTGCAGTGGCATGATCTTGGCTCACTGCAGCCTCCACCTCTCAGGTTCAAGCAATTCTTCTGCCTCAGCCTCCCAAGTAGCTGGGACTACAGGCATGTGCCACCACGCCTGGCTAAGTTTTGTATTTTTAGTAGAGATGGCGTTTCACCATATTGACCAGGCTGGTCTCGAACTTCTGACCTCGTGATCCGCCTGCCTCAGCCTCCCAAAATGCTGAGATTACAGGTGTGAGTCACCGTGCTCGGCCAAAATTTCTAATATTAAAGAGAATGGGTTTTTTGTTTATCAAAAATGTAGTGGAATTAAAGGTTGAGAAACACTGCTACAAAGGCCATATATTCTATAAAATGTGTGATGTCTGTTTTGGACAGTATGCTCATGTGTAGATAGCTGACTCCCTCAGTCTCATTAAGACAAACTGAAGCAGGACCAATGTTACTGTGGAAGAGAGTCAAATAATAAATAGTGGTTTATATTAGATGTTCATATTTTGTGATGACAAATGTCAAGTTGCATTTAACACAAGCTAAATAGAAAATTCCAAACAATAATTCTTTAAAAATACAACTTGTGAAGCAGACTTTGACAAGTTGCCTAAGTTATATTTAACTTAGCCCACGCATGAGGAAGTTAGACATTTATAGTATTACAAGTTGCCTTTTGCAATTGACTAAGCAAATAATTTTATCTGTTTCTGAATTGTTCAGTTACATGTGCCTTTTAAGTTTTTTCTTCTAATGACTCTTTAATTCTCAATAGATTCCTCATTAAAATACACTTTTTGACCGACATTGTCTTCTAGAAATATGGATTTTCTGAGTTAAAATCTTTAACGTAGGAGAATTCTTATATTTTAAATAGATTCATACTCAAGTTTCAGCATTCTCCTTAGCAGTTTTTTAGTTTCAGCAAACAGCTTTTCATATTCACAAAAATTAACTTGAGCTTTACCGTTACCTTGCTTAAAATATTATATATATAAATATTTAAAGATAGTGGTTAGATAGAAGTAGTTTCTTGTAGGTTGTATAGAGATTGAGTGAAGAATCATACTGTGTGGAAATAAAAGTCCAAGCTGGACCAGCCTGGCCAACGTGGTGAAATTCCATCTTTACTAAAAATACAAAAATTGGCCTGGTATAGTGGCGCCTGCTTGCAATCCCAGCTACTCAGGAGGCTGAGGCGGGAGAATTGCTTAAACCTGGGAGGCAGAGTTTGCAGTGAGCCAAGATCGTGCGATTGCATTTTAGCCTGGGTGACAGAGCGAGACTTTATCTCAAAAATAACAATAATGATGATAATAAAAGTTTTTTAAAAAGTCCAAGCTGGTTATACATTTGATTTTCATAAATAGTTTTGACGGGTTGTCCCTCTTTCTCTTCTCCCCTTCCCCCTTCTCTCCCCTCTTTTCCCTTCCTCTCCCCATCCTCACCTCTTCTCTTCTCTTTGCAGGACAGCACCCTTGTGCTCAGGATAATGGTGGCTGTTCACATATTTGTCTTGTAAAGGGGGATGGTACTACAAGGTGTTCTTGCCCCGTGCACCTGGTTCTGCTTCAAGATGAGCTATCATGTGGAGGTAAATATGTTGTAACTTTCTTGTGCAACACTAAATGCAAACATATTCCATGTCTCAAGCTTAGACTTCTATAACTAGGCATTGAAGTTGCTTTGTCTACTGACTTAATTGGTTACTTGTATTCCATTCATTTGTACTATACTAGGCTTTTCTGTTATTCTTCTCTGCCCTCGTCCAGCCTCGTAATCATCATTTTACCGTTTCTTTGACTTTTTTACACTCCACATATAAGTGAGATCATGCCGTGTTTGTCTTTATATGCCTAGCTTATTTCACTTGATGGGGTGTCTTCCAGGTTCATCTTTTGTTGCAAATGACAGGATTCCCTTCCTTTTTTGACTGAATAGTATTTAATTGCATATATATTACCACATTTTTCAGCCTGTGAATGAGTGTGTTTCCCAATACTAAAGTAGCTTCCCCCGCTCTCAAAAAAGATAACAAAATGAATTAATTCTACCTCCTATAATCTCCCTCCACTAAATTCTAGATTCTCTAAGTTTATGTGTCATTGTTGGGAATGTGTCTGATGGAAAGAATATTCTTTTGTTCAAATCCATCAGCAAATTCCCATTACTTCTTTATCTGGTAAAAAATGATTTCTAAAAAGGTAGCAGTGAGTATAGTGATACTGTTATAGTAAAATTGGTTTAATCACTCAGTGAGTATAACAAATAGGTACATTGGTTTGTTAAATCATAGTATGATGGTATCAGGCACTACAATAGTATTCATACTCTTAATTCCGATATCCTCCTTTTGGGGATAACTCTAAGTAAATTCAACTGAAGGAAAAAGACTGCATCATACTATTATCTACAGTGGCAGAAATTTTTAAACTAATTTCTAATGATATGAAAATTATTGAGTAAGGTAACTGAGTTTATACAGCTATTAAATGTCATAATCATGAAGTTGATGTAAAAATGTTGCCAAAATGATGACAATTACAGAAAATATACATTTCTTTAAACAAATATTGAAAGAGGATACGCATTCATTGTATAAAAATTGTTGATCAAGTGGGTGGAATTACAAGTAAATTTTATTCTTTGAACTGTAAGTTTTTAAAAAATATATAATGCATGTATTCAGTAGCAGCTGTGGGCACTGCTTGGACTGTAGGGGATTTGAAGATCTTTGAGATAGCATACAGTCTAGTCAGGGAAATCATGTGTACAGTAAAACGTAAGCGCTGGTACTTGAAATTTTTAAAAATAGGGATTGCACAATAATGTGAATGTACTTAATGTAATTGAGCTATATACTTTAAAGTGGTTGAATTGGTAAATTTTACGTTTACTTTACCACAATAAAAAAAATAGCATGTGTTTCCCTATCAGAGTGCTAGACTGTTACTTTAAGGCAAATCCTAGAAAAATTTCCCTTTATGTTAATGATAACATGGTTAAACTGAGTCAAGGATCTCATCTTGCAGTTTGAAAATATCTTTTAAGGGGCCTTTCTCTTGCTTGCACATTTAGCAATTATTTTTAATGTATGTATTAAAATGACTTTCGACAGATGTATACAACTGTGTTTGTAACACCCAAATCAAGATTTAGAACGATGCTATTAAGAAAAGTACCCTCCTGCCCCTAAACAGTCACTTGTTTTCTAGAAGTAGCCACTGCTTTGATTTTTATCCCCATAGATTAGTTTTGCCTATTCTTAAACTTTATATAAATGAAATCGTTTTGTATGTGCTCTTTTGAGTCTGAATTCTCTTGCTTCATATTTTTTTGAGATTCAGTCATACAGTTGAGTATATCTGTAGTTTTCCCTTTTTATAGTTGAATTGTATTTTGTTATTTAATATTACAATTTATTACTCTCCTTTGAGGGATATTTTCATTGTTTTAAATCTGTTGTTGTTAAAAATAAAACTGGAGCCAGGCACAGTGGTGCATGTCTGTAATCCTAGTTATTCAGGAGACTGAGGTGGGAGGAGTGTTTGAGCCCAAGCGTTCAAGGCAAGCCTGGGAAACATAGTGAGACTCCCTCCTCTTAATAAAACTGCAATAACCATTTGTGTACATGTCTTTTTTTGTAATTTAATATTGATTCTACAGTAGAAATAAGTGAAATGGAAAATCTAAATTTTTCTGCCTGATTTTCAAAATGTGATTTCATTTAAGCTGTCTTACCTATTTATCTTACTTTGTATTCTTCCCAAATGGCTAGTTTTATTTTTGTTTGGCTGTTTAGAATTTGAGGGTCGCTATGGCATGTTCTAATTGTTTTGCTTCTGTGAATTTACTTTAGGTAATTCAAGGACGTCTTTCTCTTTGATGCCTATCCTTAATTTTACTAATTTTCTAAGGTGTAGCCGGTCTTTCCATGATCTAGGGAACCTTTACTAGCTGTTACTGTTCTTTTCTTTCTCTGCATAGCAGCACTTGTTACCACAGTGTATTAGGCCATTCTTGAATTGCTATAAATACCTGAGGCTGGATAATTTATAAAGAAAATGTTTAATTGGCTCTGCCATTTATTGCTAGCTCTATTGCTGCCAGCTGTATTGCCCGGGGTCTGGATTGGCCTCAGGAAACTTTCAAGGCTGGGGTGAAGGGGGAGCAGGCAGGTTACATGACAAAAGAGGGAACAAGAGAGAGTGTGCCAGAGGGAGTGCCACACACTTTTAAACAACCAAGTCTCCCAAGAACTCATTTACTATCAGGAGGACAGCACCAAGGCATGAGGGATCCACCCCCATGACCCAGACAGCTCCCACCAGGCCTGACTTCCAACATTGGGGATTACATTTCAGCATGAGGTTTGGGGGACAAATATCCAAACTATATCACACAGTTTACATGACATGCAGTTCAAAGCAGTGTCCTTTGTTTTATGTTTGTTAGTTTCTTTCTATCCCCAACAAAATTCAAAGCTCTTTAAGGACATGGATATATTTTATCTATTTTAATTCTCCACACAGTATAGATGGTATAGTGCTGAATACATAATAGGCTCTTAGAAAATAATCCCTAAAATTTCCCATATAAAATGTTCGCCTGTAATCTGTAATGTTCTCTGTTGTAAAGTTACAGGTTTTTCTGACCCTTGGTCATATCATAAAGTTATGCGTTCTCTAGACAATTCACTAACAGACAAGTGTAAATAACTACTGTATAATTTACCTGTCAGTCATTCTTTCAGGTTAAAATGACATTCCATTTGAGTTGCATTCACAACTCCAAACAAATGCTTTCCCATTAGAAACTGTCATGGTTAGGTTTGCAACATGAGCTTTATGCATAATTGCCATTTAATTGATCAGAATATTGAAGAGGTATACACTTGGGTTGATTTTAATATAATTAATATTTTTTATTGATTCATCACTGACATTCTTAAATGAAGTTGGCCTTTTCGTATGTTTGTTTAAACTGTGCATGTGTGGCTGTATACAGTATAGTGATTACTAATACAGTATGTTGTCATTTCCGTGCATCTTCTAAGGTATCAAGTTTTATTCACTATTCCTTTTGTAGCATCAGTGCAAAGATAGCAAAAAAAGCGACGACATCTTAATGTTATTATAAAAATAGTTTTTACCTAGTGGGTCCCCCGAAAAAGGTCTCAGGAACCCTGAGGGGTTCATGAACTGTCCTTTGAGAGTGTTAGAGCTAGAAAACTTAAGAGTGCTAGGCTAACTTTAAAATATTTGGTAGTTATAGTAATGATTCCTAGGTTATATGTGAGATTGTAATGGATTGCAAATATTATCGTGTTTGGATTACAATAAATGAGAAAACTTTTGCCTTATAGTTTTACAGGCAAAAGTTTATAGTGAATCTAAAGGAAGTAATGTGAAAACTTTTATTTCTTCTCTGATTAGATGAGATAGTTTATAAATCATATTTATTATAAAGTATTTTGTGTATGTTAATTATTAAATGAGCGTCACTTAGGTATGTGTTTATACTTCTGTGTGATCATGATTGTGTTTTTGTCACTCCCCTTCCCCTTGTTCATTTGAAGAACCCCCAACATGTTCTCCTCAGCAGTTTACTTGTTTCACGGGGGAAATTGACTGTATCCCTGTGGCTTGGCGATGCGATGGGTTTACTGAATGTGAAGACCACAGTGACGAACTCAATTGTCCCGTATGCTCAGAGTCCCAGTTCCAGTGTGCCAGTGGGCAGTGTATTGATGGTGCCCTCCGGTGCAACGGAGATGCAAACTGCCAGGACAAATCAGATGAGAAGAACTGTGAAGGTATACAGAATTCCTCCATGCCTCAGCATGCAATCCTTTTTTCCCATTCAGTTATTTAAAATTCAGTGTTACTTGGCTTAGTGTCAGTTGGGGTTTTTCAAGTACATATGACCGTATCACTTCTGATCGTAGTACCATGTTCTATATTATTGTTTTAATTCACTTTACATGTGTAAGATTTATACAAATGAATAAGCTTTGAAAATTGAGATATTGAACTAAAAGATATTAGGCCTTCAGGATATAAAAATAGTCCCTGTTTCCAATGAGCTCTGAATTAGTGGATTTATTAATTACAATCTAACATATTTTATATTCTTCACTTTCTCTTACTAACCTTTCCCATGGTAAAAACAAACTAGCCAAGTTCTCTAGAATTATTTAGTGAAACAGGGAATTTAATGTAAAGAATAAAACAGGAAATTTCCTGCTGGATTTTTTTTTCCCACTCTTTTTTTTTTCTCTCTCAACCAGTGGAACTCCAGAGAATAATATTTAAGTTACAGCTAAAAGTCTAATTTGTTTTTCATTTGTATTCAGAAAGCACCTTTTGACTCTTGCCAGAGTTTGATTTTACGTGATATTAAAAATAAGAAAACTATTTACATTTTTTTCCCAGTGCTTTGTTTAATTGATCAGTTCCGCTGTGCCAATGGTCAGTGCATTGGAAAGCACAAGAAGTGTGATCATAATGTGGATTGTAGTGACAAATCAGATGAACTGGATTGTTGTAAGTAGGACTGAGATCTATAAATTACTCTTAACAGAGAATTTAAACAATTTTTTTTCTTATGCGTGAGGTTTACTTATCAAGATTTCCTTTCTAAGTAATAAATATTAATATTAAGCTAATTATTTGTGCAAAGGATTTTTTATGTTTTGCTTTCAGTAATCCTTAAACATAGCCATTTTATTATGCTCAGAAACATTTAGTAAAGCACTAGAAAAGAATATTATTTTACTATAGCACTAGAAAAGAATAAATACTATTTTACTATAACCAAAGTTACAAAATTCTCAAATCATTTAGATACATAGAAATCAGCAGGGCGTGTTGGCTCACGCCTGTAATCCCAGCACTTCGGAAGGCCAGGTCGGTGGATCACTTGAGGTCAGGAGTGGGACACCAGCCTGGCCAACATGGTGAAACCCTGTCTCTGCTAAAAGTACAAAAATTAGCTGGGTGTTGTGGCACATGCCTGTAGTCCCAGCTACTGGGAGGCTGAAGCAGGAGAATGGCTTGAACCTGGGAGGTGGAGGTTGCAGCGACCTTGAGATCACACCATGGCACTCTAGCTTGGGTGACAGAGTGAGACTCCATCTCCAAAAAAAAAAAAAAAAGAAATCAATTGGTCTGAACTTAGTGAATGTTAGTACATGATTTTAACTGTATTCCATTGTTGTCCTGAAGTATTTTCATCAGTTTCTCGATTGTCAAAAGATTTTAGGAGCTTTCTTAAAATCCAGCCTGAAGACAAGCCAATGTATAGCCCTAAACTTAGGGACCCTTGGCTGAATAGCCTGTAGTTTCTTCAGGGTTCATAACTGTTGTTGAGTGCCCTAAAACAGTGGTCCCAACCATTTTGGTACCAGGGACCTGTTTTGTGGAAGACAGTTTTTCCAAGTGGAGATGGGTAATGGTTTTGGGATGAAACTGTTCCACCTCAGATCATCAGGCATGAGATTCTCATAAGGAATGTGCAACGTAGATTTCTCAGATGCAAAGTTCACAATAGGGTTCGTGCTTCTGTGAGAATTGAATGCTACCACTGATCTGACAGAAGATGGAGCTCAGGCAGTAGTGCTTTCTGGCCTGCCACTCATCTCCTGCTTTGTGGCCCAGTTCCTAACAGGCCGTGGACTGGTACCAGTCCATGGCCAGGGCTTTAGGGATCCCTGCTGTAACATATAATATATCCCAAATTGATAAACTTAATTCTGAATGGAATTCAGCATAAGTCAGGTCTACCTTGTCAAATGTATTTGATAGAATTTAGAAAGGATTCGTTTAAAAATTCTTTAACCTGTAATGAGAACTTTAAGTTGGTATTTTTACAGACTTCAAGTGGGACTACTCAATAAGACTTAGACTCCATTCATTTATTCAACAAGCATTTACTACACTGTTGTAGACACTCTGCTGTGTATGCTGAGGATACATGCTACCTGCACCAAGTTTCTCAAAGTCCCCTATTGTTGAAATAGTAATAAGAATAGGAATTCTGGAACTAAGCAGAGCTGGATTTGAATCCTAGCTCCTCCCCCCAACAAATTATTTGTTCTTTTTAAACTTTAGTTTCCTCATCTTTATAATTTTATTAATTTATTTTTTGAGACAGGGTCTTACTCCCAATCACCTAGGCTGGAGTGCGGTAGTGCAGTCATAGCTCACTGCAGCCTAAACCTCCAGGGCTCAGGTGATTCTCCCACATCAGCCTTCCAAGCAGCTGGGACTGCAGGTGTACCCCAACACACCCGGCTAATTTTTTGTATTTTTAGTAGAGACGGTATTTTGCCATGTTGCCCAGGCTGGTCTCAAACTCCTAAGCTTAAGCAATCCACCCACCTCAGCCTGCCAAGTGCTGGAATTACAGGTCTTCTTTTTCAAAATGAAGAGAATGATATTTAACCTAAAAAACACATAGTGCGGCTCATAGTATATGTATTGATTATGGAGTGTGATAAGTGCTGTAATAGAAATCTACACAGGTAGGAGTAGAAATGAGAGAGTAGTGGGCCAGGCGTGGTGGCTCAAGCCTGTAATCCCAGCACTTTGGGAGGCTGAGGCGGGTGGATCACGAGGTCAAGAGATCGAGACCATCCTGGTCAACATGGTGAAACCCCGTCTCTACTAAAAATACAAAAAATTAGCTGGGCATGGTGGCGCGTGCCTGTAATCCCAGCTACTCAGGAGGCTGAGGCAGGAGAATTGCCTGAACCCAGGAGGCGGAGGTTGCGGTGAGCCGAGATCACGCCATTGCACTCCAGCCTGGGTAACAAGAGTGAAACTCCGTCTCAAAAAAAAAAAAAAAAGAAATGAGAGAGTAGTCAGCTTTTTAGGGACAAAGATGGACTTGATCAAGAAAGGCATTTTAGAAAAATGGCATTTAAGATTGAGTGTTGTGCTGGGCCCAGTGGCTCATGCCTATAATCCCAGCACTTTGGGAGGCCGAGGTGGGCAGATCACGAGGTTAGCAGTTCAAGACCGTCCTGGCCTTGTATTTTTAGTAGAAACCTCGTCTCTACTAAAAAATACAAAAATTAGCTGGGTGTGGTGGCAGTTGCCTGTAATCTTAGTGTCCCGCGAGGCTGAGGCAGGAGAATTGTTTGAACCTGGGAGTCGGAGGTTGCAGTGAGCCAAGATCGCACCTTTGCACTCCAGCCTGGGTGACAGGGCAAGACTTGTCTCAAAAAAAAAAAAAAAAAAGATTGAGTGTTGATCAATGAATAGTATTCATTATGCAGATAAGTGGAGAAATTGCATTTTTGGCAGAGGGAATATACTGTTCAAAAGCAGAAAAGAGTGAAACAGGCACCTTTGGGAAATTTCATGTAATGGGACTGCCAAAATACAGGCTCTGTTGAGGGGTGCCAATGAGAGAGAACACAGGTAAAGGTATGATGATGGAGGACTATGTTTTTCTTCTCAAGAGCCTAGGCAGTATTAACAATGGAGAGTCACTGAAATTTTCAAGAGAAAGACTAGCATGGTTAAGCAGTACAGAAGCTGTAAAGGCAGTGGGTTGGAGGTGATAAGCTTTTAGGCAGGGAAATCTGTCAGATTGGTTGCTTTCAAATTTCATTTGACCACATCAAGAGGAATGCAAAGATGTGAGCTCATGCATTAAAGTGTCATACAACACTTATTTACCCATATTACATAGAATGCATTCTGACACTTTGTTTTTTTCAAAGCTGCTTGTAACCCACTAAATCATTCTCACCGTTTATGAATGACTTGCAGCCTATAATTTAAAAAGGAAGCTATTAGAGTTTAGGCAGAAGATGATAAAGATCTAAATCATGAGGAGTAGTGGGGGTGGCAAGGAGAGATTTCAGAGTTATTTCAGAAGTAGAATAAAGAGGAATTGGTAACCACTTAGATACAGCTGGCAGGTTTAAGTTGGCCCACAGGTACTTAATTGAGTGACTGGAGTCATTTAAGTAGGATGTATAGCAGGAAGTGAAAACTAAAGTACTATACTGCATCTTGGCTGCAGATGTAATGTTTGATTGATGCAATGTCTAATTTAAGTTAAATTTAAGTTAAACAGGCATGTACTTTGCCACAAGCCCCATCACTTTTTATTATCTTATACTAGATGACTTCATTTATGGTCTCTTTATGCCTGGGATCTAGGGAAAATGACTGATGATGCTGACAGTGAGTTCAGTTTCTGATATGTTGCCTGAGAGATACTCATGGAATATCCTGTCGAAGCTCTTCAGGAAGTTGATTATAAGGATCTGTGGCTCAGAAGAGAGATTTGGTGCTCTTCAGTTTATTGATAATTAAAGCTGTGGCAGTAGATGGAATCTCCCAGGAAAATAGTAGGTGATAGATAGAAATCCCTCTGGAAAACACCTGCACTTCAGATGCAGGCAGAAAAAGAATGAAGCCAACAAAGGAAGCAGATAGAATAATCAGAAATAGTAAAATTAAGAGAATGGTGTCTTGGAAGGATATTGGTCAGACTTTTTTTCTTAAAACAGGAGCCAGGAGTATTATGTAAAGAGGTCAGTGAAATGAAGAATATATTGAGTTTGGCAAAAAGGAGAACTTTGACCTTTGCCAGAACAGTTTCAGTGCAGTGGTGAGGGTGGAAGCCTGATTTCAGGGAGTTAACGGTGTGACCCAAAGATTCAGAATTGAGGGTAGTGAATATAAACTTTTCTTTCTTGAAGCTTGGCATTGCAAAGGAATATTAAGGCACTAAAAAGGAATGAAAAGATGAGATGGTTGCTCTCAAGGACTAAAGAGAGTCTATGCCTCAGATTTCAGGGACTAAATTTGTAAATGATAATCCCTATATATTATGTAACTTAGAGATGTCAGTTTCACGCATTTCTTTCATATGATCTGTCAGAGAATGAGTTTAGCTGTATGAATAGGAGATTTGAGGTAAGATGAAGCAAGAGGAAGTTTTTTTTTTAAAGAATCTATGACTGTGAGATATAATTTAACTTCAGAATGGAAGAATTTTTCCTCTGAATAGAAAGAGTAATGCTTTAACTTCGACTAGAATACTATCTAGTCTATTTGAAATCAGATTACTCGGAGTTTAAACAATTTCCCTCTACCTCTAATATTGATGCCTACTGCTTCTTTAAGGGATCCAGTGAAGGTGAATCCCTGAGGCAGTGTCCTTTTCTGGCAATCTGGCCTTTCTTTATGAGTCATCCAGTAATCAAGTATTAAAGACCTTATGTTCCTTGGTCTCAGGCAGCCATACAGCCTGAAGGCAGCAGCATAGGGGATTTGAGAACTAAGGCTCATCTTTAGTTTCCATTGTCCATTCATCAGCCTAAATGTCACTATTCAAATCTAAAATCTAACATGTGCTCAGAGTTGATTTTGGCTTCTTCACCATTCCAGGTAAAACATTTGATGACTTTTCTAGGTTTATCACTTCTGACTGTAAATTTTTTCCTGAAATCTTGAAATAACCTTGTGAATTTTTATAGTATACAGAATGAAGTAGAATGGATTTTGTGTATTTATTTAAAGCTTCTTAATGGCGTTTAAATCTGTACTTCATTTACCATCTTTGTTTCTATCCATTTACAGTTATACTTTCCAACCTATTTTATTTCTGCCTTCACTTAAGGGTAGTTCATTTTGATTCCTAATGATGACATTTATTCCATATGTCTTTGGAGTGTGGTGTATATTCATAAAAAAGAAAAGTGTTTATGAATTATCTTCATTAGGTTTATAGCTTTATATCCTATCAGCAAGCCCTTTTTTTGATTACTATTTTGAATATACAGTTGTTTTTCCATAAAATAACCATACTGCATTCTTCATTTTAGATCCAACTGAAGAACCAGCACCACAGGCCACCAATACAGTTGGTTCTGTTATTGGAGTAATTGTCACCATTTTTGTGTCTGGAACCATATACTTTATCTGCCAGAGGATGTTGTGTCCACGTATGAAAGGAGATGGGGAAACCATGACTAATGACTATGTAGTTCATGGACCAGCTTCTGTGCCTCTTGGTTATGTGCCACACCCAAGTTCTTTGTCAGGATCTCTTCCAGGTGAGTCAGGACGGATCCATTCAGAATCAAGTCTTGGTCCTGCAAGACTGCCAGGTTTCCATTACGGAAAAGAATACTACCTAGAGTCTATTTGAAACCAGATTACTCTGAGTTTAAACAATTCTAAGAACAGATGTTCTTTTTTACTGTTAGTACCTTTTCTTTACACAGAAGGCCTTAGATATGGTTTGGTAGAAATTGCCAGAGCATATAAAGCAAATACATATGCAGGCGGTAAGCCTTTCTGACTGCAATTCTAGATGTATGCTACGGAAGGTGAATCAGCCAGTCATTTAGTGGAAGAGTTACAAACCACAGGTTCTTTAAGTTTACCACGAGGGAGCTCTAGTACTGTGGAGCCCAGGAATAAAAGGAGGCCAAAAATTACGTAAGATTCCTGTCAGCCAACAAAGATTTGTAAATAACTGGGTGATAGAAGGGAGGAATATGTCTTACGTTTTCTCCTGACTTCAAGTGCTGACAGGGAACTAGGGCTAGTTTAGGCATAACTGAGGAGCCGGAAGTTTTACACTGGAGTAGGCCATACTGCTGTAGGGAAGTAGCTTTCTTTTTAATGTTTTCTGGCACCCTTAGTTAAAAGAAGCCTTCCTTTTCATGAATGTGGAGAAGGAGGTGCCTTGCAAAAGCCCTCTAAAAATAGGAACTTACTATGGGTATAACTCCTAAGTAGATAAACCTGGTTTTTAAACTGTTAATGGTAATGTTTCTTTGTTGCCATACCTATTTTCAGTTGGTAGAATTTGGGAAGCTACTTGGAAAAATTAGAATTTCTTCTTTAGCATTGGTAGTTTTGATTGTAGCAGTATTTGTATTCATTAAATGAAGAAATACTCTTTCATATGTTGTTTGTGCCCTAAAAAATGTTTTTGTTTTTTTTTTTTTTGTTTTGTTTTCTTTTGAGCATGTCAGTTATTTAATATACGCTGCTTCACAACCTCTGCCCTTTACAATCCTTTCAAATCCTCCAAGGGGTTGAAAACCTCTTATTTTAAATAGCCCTGCTTCTACCAGGAAAGGGAGAAGGTGGAAGCTATTATTGGCCTTGTTCTAGGCTAGCTAGGCAACGTTGATTTCCTTTCTCCATTAAATGTTTTCAATTATTAAGAAAAGAGAGAGTAATTCTAAAATCTGACTACTTGACTGTTGATATTTGTAATCCTACTGTTGAATAAAATTGCTTCATGCATTTTTATACATTTTACTCATCTTCAGTTTTTATCCTCCTTTTATTTTAGGAATGTCTCGAGGTAAATCAATGATAAGCTCCCTCAGTATCATGGGGGGTAGCAGTGGACCCCCCTATGATCGAGCTCATGTTACAGGAGCATCATCAAGCAGTTCTTCAAGCACCAAAGGCACTTACTTCCCTGCAGTAAGCAGTCTGTTTTCCTTTGAATGCAACATACATAGGATCTTAGATATTTAAACTCATTTAAATGTGGGTGATCAGTGTTGGTGATGTAAAAGTAGTTTTTGAATCTAAAATTTAGGCATAAAAGGCTCAAAGAAGAATTCCACCCCCCCACCATGCTTTTAAATTTTTCTTGTAAGTTTACTGTGTAATAACTAGAATATTTGAAAGCATTGGGCATTAATTTCACATTTCAAGGAAAAGTAGAACTGCTGAATGGTACCTCTTGAGGGATTAGGGCCTTCATTTTATGACCTCCCAAAAGAGGAAGCACACCTGGAATTTCTCCTAAATTAATAATTTTTCTCTAAATACTTATAATTTTAAAAAACCAGAACCTAGCTGAGCTGACCATAAACCAATGATTTGTAGGTTACAGATTTTTGTCACTTTGCACTTTTTAGCCATGATGAGGTCTTAGGGAATGGGGAAGCCACAATCCTAAAGTACTGTTTGAGGTCAGTTCTTTTGAAAAGACGAATTGTGCTAATAGTGGATTGTAAAGGAACACTAATAGAGATGAAAGCAGAAAAATTGAAAGAAAGTCTCATAGTTTCTATCTGGAGTGGACTGTTGTATTTTAATATTTTAATTATTTTTTCTTTTAGATTTTGAACCCTCCACCATCCCCAGCCACAGAACGATCACATTACACTATGGAATTTGGATATTCTTCAAACAGTCCTTCTACTCATAGGTCATACAGGTAATACACATCCTCCTCTAAAATAAGTTGCAGTATTTATTAGAAAGTATTTTAGTTGTGGACTTGATGTAGCCCAAAATGAGTAGACTATGGTCACTAGGGTGAGACTAGGCATCTTGTCTTGGTAGTACAGACATTGCCTCTACCACAAATCCTTTCCCTTCAGGGCGATACACATTTTTTTTTTTTGAGATGGAGTTTCGCTCTTGTTGCCCAGGCTGGAGTGTAATGGCTTGATCTCAGCTCATTACAACCACTGCCACCCAGGTTCAAGTGATTCTCTGCCACATCCTCCCCAGTAACTGGGATTACAGGTGCGTACTACCATGCCCAGTTAATTTTTGCATTTTTAGTAGAGGTGGGGTTTCACCATGTTGTCCAGGCTGATCTCAAACTCTTCATCTCAGGTGATACCCTCCTTGGCCTCCCAAAGTGCTGGAATTACAGGCATGAGCCACCCTGCCTGGCCGATACATTTTTTTTTAAAGAGAGTCACAAATGCTGGCTTTTAGAATAATAAAATACAGCCACAGGCTTTGGCAGTATTCTAAGGAGGAGTTGCCCACCAAAGTGACTGGTTTAAAATAGTTGGATATTCTAAGAATGAAGTATTGGGATAAGATTGGTTCATAGAATTGAGAGTTTAAAACAGCATCATATTAAGAACACAGAATTTTAGAAAAGTTGAGAGAAATGTAAGATCAGCCATTGCTTGCATGTTATTACAATCTGGAGTGAAAGATTTCTCATAGTTGCGTGGAATAAAAAAAGATTGAAATAAGTGTATTTATAAGGGGAAATTACTCCTTTTTGCTAATTCATGGGTCTATAAAGTGTGTTGAGCAGATCAAGTACTGTTGTGTCAGCTTCCACTTCTGTGTTCCTTGAAGGGCCAATAGACCGTAAGTATAAGTAGCTTGAGAGTTTCTGTCTAAACACTGAAGTGCCCATGGTTTATGAGCATCCCTCAAGTCCTTGTTATCTTCTAGATAATCTTTTCTGTCTTCTATTTTCTCTAGATAATCTTCTATTATCTTTCCTAGCATTTCAGTCAAATTGACCTTATAGGACCTCACCCATGTATAGAAGTAAAGTAGAAACTACTTATAGTATTTCACTCAGAATTCTCATTTCAGTTTAGATAAGACTGTTTGAAATAGTCTTGGCTGTGAACTGATAGTTTAATGATTTGTTGTAATGTTGCTTTCTCTGCCCCAGGTTTCTTCTAGGAAGTCAAAACAGAAAAAGCAGGACCCTAAAAATTGAGAAATGAGAAAAGATACAAAATTTTATTTTTAAAAATTGATGTCTTTAATTCAGATTGAATAAAGCACTCATCAAAATAAACATGATTACATAAAAAACTATTTTTGTTTAACTATTTTACATATAAGCCCAATTTCTGTTTCCTCTGTCAAACTTTTCATCATTTGTTGATATTTTTGTCTAAACTGGGACATGAAAGAATTTTATTAATTCAGTTTTTCTTTTTTTTTTTCCCCCATTAAAATAGAAGTATTTGGACTTTTAAATGTTGACCTTAGAAATTTCACCAAGGATTGACACCTGATTACACAAAAGGTTAAGACCAAAAAACAAACTGTGACATCATGTCAGTATTGATAGTAAACGTCTTTGAGAACCCACTCAGTGTGTCATGTAACTTTTGGTCTCTGGCAGCCTTGCAGCCTTTTTATTTTTATTTCTTCTTCTTTTTTTTTTTTTTTTAAGACAGTCTTGCTTTGTCGCCCAGGCTGGAATGCAGATGCACAATCATAGCTTACTGCAATCTCCACCTCCTGGACTCAAGCAGTCCTCCTGCCTCAGCCACCCAACTAGCTAGGTGTGTGTTTCACCACGCCTGGCTAATTTTTTAAATTTTTTTGTAGAAATGGGGTCTTGCTATGGTGCCCAGGCTGGTTTCTTTCTTTCTTTTTTAAAGACTAACGAAATGCACTAGTAATAAGGGGAGGCAGGGTAGAACAAGGAGTTCAATCTGTAATTGTTTGTGAACAATCGTGGCAGCCATTTCTTTTGAAGCAAGCCCAGGTGATATCAAATGGTTTGTATCCTGAGATCCTAGGATATATTATCTTGTGGTGCTCTATATCACTAGGTATTTTATGAATTGTTGTATCAGTTTTTAACTTGCTTTTGCCCCTTCTCTTTTAGCCATTTTGATGGGAAAGCTTATGAAAAATATCTTTGGGATAAATTTAAGATCAGCTTTACCATATTTAGAATAAACAGGTATAAGAAGTTACAAATAGAAGTAGGAATGACTAGAAAAGCCAGAACTTTAGGTCAGCTCTTACTTTCACTAGTGTGTTTCTCTCTTTCCAATGACTTTTTCTTTGGTTAGCAATGCTACAAACCTAACAACTGTAAATTACTTAAAAAGATAAACAAGTGTAAGAAATAAAGCCTCTGAAATATACATTAGAAAAATCACTGGCCCTTAATGGGTATTTAAATTTTATCATTTTGATGTTGAAAGCTGCTCTTCTGACAGGTACTTATCTATACACAGGGAATGAAAACTGTTTCTCCCAACCACAGCAGTTTCCCTTTGCTAAGAATACAGTAATGGAGTAGTTACGCCCCTTAGGCTATCTACCAAAATCCAGCTTGGATTATATAGAAATTGTACAGAAGAAAGAAATGAAGTCTTCAGATGTCATTAAGTTATTCATCAGGTTAATTTTGGAGCAGTTAAAGAATGTTGAGGAAATGCTGACATGTTTTAGTAGTGTAAAATATGTAAAAACCCATTCTTCCATAGGCTATGAAACTGCAGAACAAATTTGAATAGTCATTTTTTTATTCTGTGGTGCAGTTTAACTTGAAGATATAAGAGCACATCCAGAGGCTAGACTGAATTCACCCCTATATTCCCATCGTGGTTATTTTCACTTGCCACTTTCTTATTTGCAAATAAGAAAGTACGTGGTATCTTCCCCAGCCAATCTGCCACTGAAAATTGCCTCTTGGTCTGTGTAAATTTAAATTGCAGTAGCTTATTGTTTTCAAAGTGAAGTTTACATCTAATACTTCTGTTCTGAGAGTGAAAATCATTTTTCTGTAAAATTAACTCTGCTTTTCTTTATTTTCTCCCTGTACCAGCTACAGGCCATATAGTTACCGGCACTTTGCACCCCCCACCACACCCTGCAGCACAGATGTTTGTGACAGTGACTATGCTCCTAGCCGGAGAATGACCTCAGTGGCAACAGCCAAGGGCTATACCAGTGACTTGAACTATGATTCAGAACCTGTGCCCCCACCTCCCACACCTCGAAGCCAATACTTGTCGGCAGAGGAGAACTATGAAAGCTGCCCGCCTTCTCCATACACAGAGAGGAGCTATTCTCATCACCTCTACCCACCGCCACCCTCTCCCTGTACAGACTCCTCCTGAGGAGGGGCCCTCCTCCTCTGACTGCCTCCAACGTAAAAATGTAAATATACATTTGGTTGAGATCTGGAGGGGGGGAGGGAGCTTTTAGAGAAGGATGAGGCAGACCATGTACAGTTAAAATTATAAAATGGGGTAGGGAATACTGGAGATATTTGTACAGAAGAAAAGAATATTTATATATTTTCTTAAAACAGCAGATTTGCTGCTTGTGCCATAAAAGTTTGTATAAAAAAATAAATTTGTACTAAAAGTTTTATTTTTGCAAACTAAATACACAAAGCATGCCTTAAACCCAGTGAAGCAACTGAGTACAAAGGAAACAGGAATAATAAAGGCATCACTGACCAGGAATGTCTGGGCTTTGCTGATACCAAAAAAAAAAAGAGAGAGAGAAAGAAAAACTATTAAGTCCATCTCAGAGCAGCAAACCATAGATACTTGGTAGTAGCCAAATAGCCTTCAGTTAACTAACATTTGAGGGCCAACAAGTAAGAAAAGAAAAAAAAAAAAGAAAAAAAAAAAAAAAGTAATTAATACTAACCTTGGACAAGGTTAGTATTTCTTGGAATTTCTCTAGGAATCCAACAATATTAGTGAGGAAAGTAGATATTTATAAAAATCCATTCTGGGTGTTTCTGTTGTAGGAGGATCAGCCCTCTGATAAGATGCTATGAAGCTGTGTGTGTGCAAGTCTTCTGTCCCTACCTTTAGAATTCATACCTCTGTCAAAAATGAATTTTTTCTCTTGGTATTTTTACCTTGCTGCCTCCCCCAGCAACTTGGTAGGTCATTTTACCAAGATACCATGATTTATTTAAGCTTTTAAGCTGAGGCATTGACTAAATGGAATTTTCTAAATTAAAGTTTGATTTTAATATTTCTACTAGCTCCATTCCCCAGTAAGCTTAGCTCTTCAATTCGACTGCTGTTTTTTGCATAATGATCAAGACATATTATTGCTCTTCTTCCAAGATTGTTTTAATGCTCATTAAAATGTCTTTTTACAACACGTATAGACAATGTTTAAGAATTAAAAATTTAACCATTATGTTTTTGTTGTAATCATATATCCTTGCACTACTTTCAGCATATATCACAGTATGAAATCATTTTTATATATATTTTTCTGAGTAAAACATTTAATTATGTTCTGGTTAGAGACAATCTACTTAAAAAGAATTTTTTTCTTATTAGGATTTTCCCTATATTAACAGTTTTTGACGTTTTCATGTTCTTTAGGCTGGTTTTTCTCAGAGTGATGTCTACATACATGCCTCTTCTAATGTGTGACACGAGTTCAACATCTTCCCGTTACCCACTGTGAATGTTAGGCTGTTTTCAGATTATCCACAAGTTATTCTTGTAATCACCTCATATTTTTACGTGCATTCTCTCTTACCCATTATGGATTAAGGTAATTTAACAAATTTAACAATGGGGATTAAATGAGAAGGCCAACTATTAACTTCTCAGCTGTCAGAATTTGGGTAGAAGGAATAATGGCAGCCTCTTTCATGATCTGCCTGACCTGCTGTCATGTATGGTACTGGGGCTGCTAATTCTTCCGCTATCAGGGCTGACCTGTGGAATGATTCTAGTGCTTGCTCTGCCATCTTGCTAGAAGTTAGTGTCCTGCTTTTTACACATGTCTAGCATTTCTCTGCTAAAATTGAATGTTTTAAAGCTAATGTATTTTTACCTTAAGAGATGTTGGTTAGTTAATTATTGATTTTTTTTTTTTTCTCTTTTAATTCTGTTTTGCTAAGGCCTCTGGGTTTCAGGGCCCAAGAGAAAACAGTGGAAGAAAGGATTCAGAATTTTGGCAAGGGTGAAGTAACTTTTCATGCAATTAAAAAATACCCAAGTAAAGTTTTTAAAGAGAAAATTGTGGTTTTAGAATAATGCTAATTGTTGGGTACGGTTTATAAGAATCAGGTGCACTTGATTTTGCATATAAGCAAATGGTAAATTCATCAGTGTCCTACTTTTCAGTCAGATAAGCGTTAACGCTTCCTGTTGCTGGAACTAAGTGCCCACAGTCTCAGATGAAATGGACATTGAACTTGCATTCTGTGATACACAGGGGCACTTGATGCCTAAACGAAGATGGAAAGGTTAGCAATAACTGGGTGTCGATTAGAATCTGAGAATTCTATATGTTTACATTTTTAAATGTGCATCTTTATCTGGTAGGCTTCCCATGTGGGAACTTGCACTATCATAAACTAAGAAGAATATGCCTTGTTTATCCCAGTCCAGGTGCTTGTACTGCGATGGCAATGGCCTCTTCTTGCAAAATACTAATTTGTGTGCCAATTTGTTTAAAGTTATTTGAAGGCAGTTCAGCTTAAACTCAGTATTCTCTTTCTGGGGTAGATGAGATGGATTCTTAATATTTCTGGGAGTACTTTTTAATGAAAGAATTGTGAAATTTGGAAAGATTTATTGACTGTTATGTTAAATGGACAGTTAAGCTTAAGTAAACTGTATATTGATTATTAAACAAGAACTGTATTGGAAAAGCTGAGAGGAAATACATAAGACCACAAATTAGGGGGAAAAAAGAAAAGGGATTTTAAAATTTGGCATATTAAATTCATTGTCCAAGGGGCAAAATGAATGCTTCATTAGATTCCTTATATGCAAAAGTATTTATTTTGAACATGTGTCATAAAATATTCGCACTAACTGATGTGATTAAAATTATCTGAGAAATAAACTTGAGCGTAACATACTTTCTGTGCACCACAGTAAGCTATTCTGCACTGAAGTGGTCTTTTATTACTAAGGCCTGGACTTGACTCCGACAGAGCCCTGGTCTCTGAATAGTGATTTAAGGAGTTTTGTTACTTAGGTCATATAATGGCACATTCACAGGAAAAAAATAGAGTTGGTGGATATAATTTTCTCACTAATAATTTTTCTTCCATAAAATTATATTATGCCTTTGGCACTTGCTGCCACTCTTACAGCATATCACAAGATGTCTGTTTAGCAGAAGATTATGTAGTTACTTTAATTTTAATATAAAAATGCCTTATGATACACCAGCAAGAGATCTCTGATTCTTTAATAAGTTTGAGGACAGCTGATCTACAGAGATAGATATTTAGAAATGAAGACTTTAAAGGACATTTTTATCCATTATAGGCCAGTAATTGGGGAAGGGACTTTGAGCAGTACAATTTTAAGATGATTTTGAGGGTTGTATTTCTTTATCATTTAAAATACCCTAAAGTCAGGCCAGGTGTGGTGGCTGACACCTGTAATCGCAATACTTTGGGAGGCCAAGTCAGTCAGATCACCTGAGGTTGGGAGTTCGAGACTAGCCTGACCAACATGGAGAAACCCTGTCTGTACTAAAAATACAAAAAATTAGCCAGGCGTGGTGGCACATGCCCGTAATCCCAGCTACTCGGGAGGCTGAGGCAGGAGAATCGCTCGAACCCGGGAGGCGGAGGTTGCACTCCAACCTGGGCAAGAAGAGGGAAACTCTGTCTTAAAAAAGCCTAAAGTCAGTACTTTATATGAAGGAAATTCATTCATTATTGAAGGTATAAAAATAGCCACCATCTGTATTAGGTAGCAGTCAGTTTTGGAGGATCATCTTTTTGTTTAGCTATAAAGCCCTATTAATGAAGAATACTTCCAGTAGAGTTGATAGCTGTGGCTTACCTACTGTGTTAATGAAATGTGTTTATTTATGTGGCTTGATACCAGTAGTCATAATAGAGACTGAAGAAGCATGGTTTAAGCAAGCCTGCTTCTATGTAGCGAACGGGCTGCTGCTGCCTAGTTTAGATTCTTAGAAATGTCATATGTTGAATTGTTTTATTTCTTGTAAGGGAAGGTTTATCCCACTTCATTGATTTGCATGCCATAGGAATTAGATATTGGTTATCATTACAATCTAACAAGATTCAGAAGCAAAAATCTTGGGCTTTTCACATTCAAAATATGTCACACTCTTAATAAATGTGTGGTGCCCAAGTCTACATATGGCAACCATAGTTTATGTGGAGTATGGATATGAGTGTGTTTACCAGTATCAGTTAGTGGACAAATATTTGGGCATCTACAGATGAGACTATACACTCACTGTGTGGGCTGAGTCCTAAAGAAGCTGATAGCCAAATGTGGTTTAAAACATTATCAGAATTCTTACGCTCAAGGAATTTAATTTTATTTGGTACTTCTTCTCTCAAACCTCAAATGAGCCCAGAGGAAGATGATTTTAGAAAGTACTCACAGTACATGTGCCACTTCTCACTTTTGGGATGGCACCATTTTATAACAGTCTCACAATTTCACTTTTGAAATTCTCAACATTTTACGATAGAAGACTTTGGACCTCAACTATAAAATTGTACATTTATAATTTTTAAAAAATTTAAATGATAAGCATTATGAATTCACACTCTAAGGCCGACTTCATCTACATCTCATTAAACTAAGCCTGTACCTGAGTGGAGTGGAAGGTGGAGTCTTACATTAATCAGTTACTGACTCTACCCTCACCCTCCTTCAATTGAGGTAAACTTTGCTGTTTTTCTTTTTCATAAAGCATTCTTAAATTGTTGAGTTTATTGCTGAAAAAAATCTTCATGACTTTACAGATAGAATTACAGACTAAATGGTTTCTTATACTTAGAAGCAGAGTACAGATCTAACAAACTGTTAGATTTCCCATCACTTAGGGTTTGCCCAAAACCAACACCACAGAGTTATAGACAACACGCTTTTGCTTAACTGCCCATTTTAGTTGTTTTGTTTTTAATCAAAGAAAAACAGGATTGGGGATAGAGATAGATATAGATATACTATATATCTAATGCCTAAATATGGCTATTAAAGGGAAAATTTTTAAAGTCCGATTAAATCCGGTATTACATGAAATTAAGTAAATGAGTTAGTAAGGAAAAATTTTAAAAAGTAGAGAGGATACCAAGGAGATTAAACTGGACTAGCCTTATTTGCAAGTGAAGGATCTGGTGCTGCTTTCAGATGTTTATCCTTTATTTTTTTTCCCTTAAGCTTTAATCTTCGTCATTGTCTTAAAGTCAACTGGTGTTTCTTGTTCATCGACTTTGGTACGATGGTGCTTTGCAAGGATGTATTTATATTATAATGGCCAACATTTGGTCAGCCCTTGTCCACTTATTCACTTCCCTCCTTTTGTAAAATAAGTGCTTTAATTATAAACTGTATAAAAAATACCTTGTATAAAACCCCTTTTTTGATTATTACAATAAGCTGAATTGTAACAAATGAAATGTTGATTTTTATAATAAAACAATGGAAAAATAAAAGTCCCTGTCCTTTCTTTTCAGCAAGAAATTAAGACCATAGCTGGTTGTGCTTTGCTATGATACAAATGAGACTGTTTCAGACACAACAAAATCCGCCTTCATTGTTTGCATTTTAAATAATACTCAGCTAGTACACCTGTAGTCCCAGCTGCTTGGAAGACTGAGGTGGGAGGATCACTTAAGCCGGAGAGATTGAGGCTGCAGTAAGACTGGTGGTTCTGCCACTACACTGCAGCCTTGGGCGACAGAGTTGAGACCCTGTGTCAAACTCAGTCAGTCTCTGCGAGAGAGATTTGCGAAGGGCTATTGCTTAGTTCAATGCTGGCAGCCTTTGTAATTGGGAACAGAGAGTAAGAAATAGCCTGTGCTTCAGAATTGCTTTTGTTTTCAGTAAACTGGAAGGAGTTCTAGTATGGACTCTGAACATTTCCCTCTTTTCCAAGATCTTAAATTAGCTTATAAAATGCACATCGCTTTCCTGGTGAAGAGCCCAGTATGATGTGACGATTCTTTTTTTATGAGGGTAGGACCTGGTAAAAACCAGTGAAACAGCAGGTCTCAGCCTGATACTAAGCTCACTAATTTGATAGCAAAGGAAGAAAGCTGCTTTTTTATTTTGCAATATTTAAGCTCAAATATCAATTAAAGGGAAATCAAGTTTTAAAATAATGTCTTTCCTTAGCCAATGCTCTCAAGTGAACTTACCTTGGTCTTTGCTGACTCCTCCCATTCTTTCTCCTGGAAGGAAAACAAAAGCTACGCAAGTTGTGCTATTCCCAGTTAAATGAAAGAAACAAAAGGCAGAAGATTGGTTTGCCTGATTTAAAGGCAGTCTCAAGAATGGGGAAAACACTGCAAACTGTTTTGGGTCCTTCTTTCCCCAGATAGGTTTTCAGCTAAGTAAATCATTAAGTAATTTTCATTTTAATTCTTTGCCTTGTATGTGGTTGGATTGTTTCTATTCAAATGACAAATTGCTGTCCTCATATCTCTGGTTCCATCCATTTATATAATTATGTAATCTGCACAGTCCCCCCTCCCTCCCACAGAAAATCTGCCTGAGACTTGCATTTGCAAATTCATATTTAGTCAACATACAAAACCAATGTCCGCCAGTACAGAAGCTAAAATGAAGGATAATTTTATTAACATTCTGGCCTGCATTTACTGTGTACCAGGCACTGTGCCGCCTCTCCCTCCACCCACCCACTCACTTAAATGAATGCCAGCTGTGGTAGCTTGAGCCTGTAATCTCAGCTACTTGGGAAGCTGAGGCAGGAAGATCTTTTGAGGTCAGGAGTTTGACACTAGCCTGGTCAAGAGAGAAACCCCTACCTCTAGAATAAAAAGAATAATAAACATTAATGACCAGGCTTGACAGGAAATGCCAAATTTGAATATGAAAAGCTCCACTGCAAAATTTTGATTAGAAACGGGTTGTCTCTTGGTAGAGGGAAAAGGACGTGCATTGAGGTCTAGATTCTAATCTTTATTCCGTTGTACTTAATTTTCAAGGCATGTCTGGACTCGTTTCTCTCTCAGTGTTTCTCGGCATTAGTCTCTAATGTAGAGTTTTCAGAACCTTGACTAATGAGCCAGTTGACTTTTTTTTTTTTTTTTTGAAGTCCTGCTCTGTCACTGAGGCTGGAGTGAAGTGGCGCAATCTCTGCTCACAAGCCAGTTGATTATTAGTCAATTCCACTACCTGTTCTAGAGAAATACATAATGCGTTTGAGGCAATGAATTGTATTACAAGGTAGAATCCACTGGAGCCCAAACACCTATGTGGTATCCTATTCTATGCTTCCTTTCCCCTAGGCCTTTGCTTTTCTTTCCAAAGAAAATAACTGTCAAAAAGGAGACAGCTCGACACCCATCTTCCCTCGCAAGCTGCATGGCAAACAAAAGTGATATCTTGAAGTCTTTTGACTTCTGATCCCACTACTATTACTCAACTGAACAGCCTCGAACATCTCAAGTTTTGTCCAGTAATTGAAGTACTTTCTTGGGGATTCCATGGGAAGGACAGGGTTAGGGTCCTCAAGTATGCAGTGCTGTGATTTTTAACAGCAAATACATACGTAACAGCAACATTTTAATACCTCAGTTTCTCTAATCTAGGTTATTCATATTTTCCCATGTCAGTTTTAGTTACTTGTGTCTTTCAAGGAATGTGTCCATTTCATCTAAGTTGTTGATTTACTGACATAAAATATGTTTCTGGCTGGGCGTGGTGGCCCACTCCTGTAATCCCAGCACTTTGGGAGGCCAAGGCGGGTGGATCACGAGGTCAGGAGTTCAAGACCAGCCTGGACAAAATGGTGAAACCCCGTCTCTACTAAAAATACAAAAATTAGCTGGGTATGGTGGTATGCTCCTGTAATCCCACCTACTTGGGAGGCTGAAGCAGAATTGCTTGAACCCAGGAGGCGGAAGTTGCAGTGA